ATGGCTGTTTGGGTACGTTTGTGCACCATCGTAAAGTTGAAAAATCATTAAGCTTGACCCACTGCGAGTCAGGGACTGTCTGTTGAAGTCTAAAAGTATCATTTACAACACTAAGATAAACTGAAAACACCTCTGGGTTCTCTTTTTCCATTCTGTTCAGGACTGCAAAAGCCTCTTTTATAAAACAGAAGAGCCAGCAGGGACCCCTGAGTGCTGTGATGTTCAGATCGCTTTTCTCATGGCCCCTTTGGAGTCCCGTGCCTTCATGACATCCAAAGTCTACATGTTTAGGGTTAAGACAGTCTGATGCATTTATTATTATTATTTTATCCAAGTTGATGAAATCAATTTCATATTTTATTTGTTATGTTCTGGATATTTTTTCTTACACCTTACTGATTGAGCAGAGCAATGAGGGCTGGGGTAGCTGCTTTCTGCCCCCAGAAAGTGTACTCTGATCCACTCCCCTCTCCAGAGCGAGCCACAAGGAATTCTTTGAGAAACTTGCCCATGCACCTCTTTATGTTGTATAAAAAATGTAAAGGGGATTTACATTTACATTTACATTTACATCCAGGGAACTGTTTCTTGCGCCACATTGGCATGGATGTTTTGGGCCAGAACAGGACTCTAAGCGTAACAATGGGTTTGACAGAGATATCTCACAGATGTGGCATGTGCCATTAAGCTGCTTTCTTACCCCCTGCTAAGATGGGAAGCTCTTGTCTATCAGGTTGAGGCACAACCCAAAGACTCCATCCAGGAAGCAAGGAGGCCATGTTCTGAAAATGTAGCAAGGTATTGCTTAAGCACTACTTGGAGACTCTAGATATCCCTCCTTTCAGGGGCATACTGGAAGCACTGAGATGTCGGTGTGAGAAGACCTGCCAGTCTTTCTGGAGCACCTGGGTCACTTTGCTTTGACTGGGGCCAGTGGAACAGAGGTGTGAGGAGTTGTTCACCACTCAGGCAGGAGATTCGGGTTTCTGCCTGGAGCCTGCCTGGTGGTGGGGGGGGGAGGCAGGCAGGGGTGGTGACTCCTGTTCCACCGCAGGGGAGGGGAGGGTCCCAGACAAGAAGGTGTCAGATTCTCTTAAGGGTTCTGGAAGCAGAGGTTCTGGTGAAGAGAGTGAGCAGGGACGTTGGAGAGCAGCACAGGGAAAGACAGGCTGGTATTTCTGTTCTGTGCAGGAGCACATGCCACTGGGGAAAAGGCAGGGCAGTCAACATCTATCGCTGCTACAGGTGACATCCCTGGGCTCTGCTAGCGTGGCTTTAGTTCTTGGAGTCACCCCCTCCCCACAATTCTGAGGTTCCATCTGAGACAGGAGGACCCTGTGAGCAAGTGAGTGAGCACTCAGAGAGGCCCAGAAGATGCCTGCTTCAGGAGCAGACAATTCAGCTCTATAGCCGTGAGCCGTGTACACTGCAGAACTGCGTCAACCCCAAGGCAGAGCCCTGTTCTGGGGTGGTTCCACACTGCGCCTAGGGTACCGCTTATTGCCTAACAGGCTAACACAGAGCTCACCTGCATCTTGGCCCTTTCTGTATGCCTGGAATTCCAAATTAAAGGAGAACTGTACTTTCTCCTGGGTTTATAAAATAGGTCTGATCAATTGTTCGCACACTTGTCTTTCTGTTTTAAGATGACATTTTGTCCATATCGCAGCATTTGTACTTGCCTGACAATACAGTATAATCATAATAATTCCTGCACTTGTTATTTCAGGGAGAAATGTGGAATTAATGTGAGTTTTAACAATACTTTAAAGCAAATTTGCTACACATTTTTATTTGATCTTGAGTATAAAATTAAACCTGTACTTAGGCAGACAGCAAAACCAATGTCTATGTTTTAGTAAAAACAAGTTAAAAAACTGAATTAAAAGGTAAGTAGATTGGGATTTAAATCTCAAGTTAAAAATCCCTTAGTTTAGATCCTTCATTAGAAGGGCTTTATAAAAACAAGTTGGAAACATTCTTAGTCATTAAACATGAATACATAATCGGTGATAAAACTTGGCCCTTAAGGCCATATGTATTTAAATATACACAATTACATTAGTACAAAATTCTCTCTTGACTATTCCATTAGCTCTATCTGGCAGTGAGATATATTTGCATAATTGTCTTGTTCCTGGACCTCCAACCATGAATTATAGTTTGAAACACTTCTTCCAGTACACTGTGCAGCAGTAACTGATACGCCACAAGGAACTGAGGATACGGCGTGTCCTTCCCAAGGAACAATGCTGCTGGCTTGCTTTATGAGGGCTGACTTATCATAGCACCTACAGAGTAGTGATGAAGAAGGTGGAACCATTTTACAATGACCTCAGTTCATCCCTGTACTATCCCCAGGCCTGATGACGGTGGTGAACTGTGAAGTCCCATCACTTTTAAAAGTGGAAGGGTTTTCAGGAACTCCCCCAGTCTACACGAAGCCACGATTCTCTGAGGTTAGGAAATAAACAACAACAACACAAACACTTGCTTTTGGAGTCAGACAACGTGTGTGTTAGTTCTGCTTTTGCCATTGCAGCTAGTCTTCAGGATTGTGAAATCATTTGAAAAGAAAAAACGCCCATGAACCTTTTGCTTACCTCCCAGTCAGTACAGGGCAACGACCACTGACCACCGACCACCGACCACCGGCAGAACATTCACATTGTATCAGGTGTTCCAAGTGATCTAGAGAGGGCTTGAAGTGTCTGGGAGGATACAGACAGGTAGCATGCCAACCGTACATAAAAGAGTGGGCAGCACTGATTTTGTTGTGGAGGAAGGGGCCTGGAGGGTCATGGATACAGAGGGGCTCTAACCAGGATTATAAATTTGGCAAAGCACCACATGGCTCTATTCATTCTAAAGCGATGGGGGCCGGGGGTGGGGGGAATGGAAAGCTTGGCTTAGTTAAGGGTTTATGATTACTTTCAGTTTAAAATAACTTTCATCAGGATTTTATAATTGTTATTTGCAAGGTGTAGAGATAATGGCTAATCCGTTTGGATACATAATAGAAACGAAAACTAACAGAAAATAGAATTTGCAGTAAATAACACAGACTCCTCCTGCCAGCCCAAGGCCTTCCTGGGCCTCTTCTGGTCAGGTGTGCCAAAGGAGGTCCGCTCACTCAGGGCGCCTCTCCTGCTGAAGGGCCAGGTGGGTGCAGAGGGGAGAGGCAGGCTGTGCTCAGCTCAGTGCACAAGTTTTTAATCACTACCCACTTGGGATATCTTTGCACTAATTAGCCCTTTAGGTAATATTGAAGTATTATTCTTTGTGTTGAAAATGGAATTAACCATAATTAACAGTGCTTGACACTGGAAGCCTCAGGGGAGCCGAAGTTTATACAACAATGTTCTTGAACATACACAGTGCTACCTGATGTCACATTCTTAACAGCTTTCCCCTCTCCCTTTTTTCCTCTGTCCTCACAGGACGGGGAAGCGGGTATTGGAGCCCCATGGGTGTGATCTGCTTAGTGGCTGAACCCGACTTGGCTGAACCCTCAGAAATTCTGCCCTTTTCTTCATTCGGTTTTAGTTAAGAGGAACAGCAGAGGTTCCTGGAAGGAGGCTGGCTTTCACAAGCACTCCTCCCCAGCAAGTTCCTTAGTGCCTTCAGCTCTTCCTGCCAACCAACTAGGCAGTCTGGTTCCAAGGATGGATGATTCCTTTTTAAGATTTCTTCTTTTTTTTTTTTCTAATAGGAAATTCAGATATACAGAGAGGAAGATCTTCCATTCGTTGATTCATTCTCCAAGTGGCCGCAATGGCTGGAACTTTTAGCTAATCTGAAGCCAGGAGCCCAGAGTCTCTTCCAGATCTCGCACATGAGTGCAGGGTCCCAAGGATTTGAGCCATCCTCGACGGCTTTCCCAGGCCACAAGCAGGGAGTGGGATGGGAAGTGGGGCCACTAGGATTGCAAGGTGAGGATTTTAGCTACTAGGCCACAGTGCTGGGCCCAAACCTGGATGATTTAAAGCTGAATGAAAATGAAGATGGCTGGTAAAAAAAAATTTTTTTTTAATGGGCCTCGTGTCATAATTTAGGGAGCTTGGAAGACACCAGGCAGTACTAGAATCCCCTGAGACAGAGATGCATTTCCTTAAATTTGCTTGGGGGTAGGGGTGGCCTGGGTGAGCTAAGACTCAATCGTGTTGCAATGGTGCATGCGCACACACAGACGTGTGAAATGAGTGTCAACCAGCTTGCCTTAGCCAGCTTTTAGCATCTCAACCTCAAGGAACTAATAAAGCATGTACTGAGCTGACAGTGAAGATGCAACTCCACGTGGGGACCAGGGGTGGGAAGGGTTGAGGGGTGGAGGGTCGGGGAGGGTGCTGGAGGGAGAATAAAAAGCTAAGTGTTCCCCTTGACTTTAGCGGGGAACAGCTTGTCTGTGGGAGGGGGGTTGTGTGAGTGGGGATGCCATCCACTCCTTGGCAGCAGATTTGTCCTCCCAGTGAGATGCCTGTCTAAAAGCTCTGTTAACTTTTTGAAAAGGTGTTATTCATACAGAGAAAATACATAGTGGCAAAAAGCAGCTGTCTTAAATAACATGAACTTCACATAGAACTGGATATTTTCCAACCTAAACTGAAATATAACCATGTGATTCAGAAAGCCCTCAAAAGACATAAGCATTTCAATGTTATGAATTGCTCTAAGAACTGACCCTGCACTGACTTCACAGTCACAGCCCATTTCCATAGCTGGAAGACACACGATGGTCTGCACTATTTGCCCTTTCATTTTAAACAAAATGTCAAGTCCTAATGGCGGTACCTTCCCCCCACCCCGCAACTTAAGTCAATGCAACTCCGTTAAACATTTAGTTACTCATCATGTCATTACTTAAGGGATGAACCTGTATTTCACAGAAACAAGAAGTGGGGACTCAGATGGGGTACCCATGGCCTCGAGGCCCTGCAAAGTGCCAGGTCACCAGGGCAAAGGACAAAGTTGGCTACAGGCTTCCAACCTGACCACAGATCCAGAGTTGTATAAGAAACAGCTTTATTAGAAAACAAATGTAGTGTACACATGGCTAATTTCTATCACCGGTATACTGCTGGGATATTTCAGGATTAAAATCTGGTACACGGTTGAAACTTCTTTAGAAGTTAGTGGCATTTCCTCCTATTGTGACTTGGCTTGTGGAAGGAGTTCTCTTTGTGTGACAGATGCCCCTTTTATTTCTTTGCATAACTAGAATGCATCAGTAGTTTAGCACTGGCACAAAACACAGAGGACGTGACCTGGGAAGTGCTGCATGTGCAAGATGTTGTCACATTCCTGCCCTCTCAGTCAGGCACAGGTGTGCCACCTGCAGAGTTTAAAAAAAAGTCCCCTGGACCCACTCAGGTCCTGCAAATCCTTACCCAATAGTAATTAAATTAATGCAATAATAAATCACCTAACAAAATCTCTGAGAGAAGTTCCGTTCATCTCTGTTTTTTCTTTCCCCACTAGGTGTGCAATTCCAAGCAAGTGTGCAGCGTGCAGTATTCATTTCCAGTCTCCTAGTAGATTCCTGCAAGTCTGTGCCATCAGACTGAGACAACCACATCGAGATAGAGTCGGTCGTAGGATTCCCTGAAGCACAGGATGAGGAGCAGACTGAGCAAGCATGACCCGGGAAGGCACCAGTTGAACCAAGACAGCTCTGGAAGACAAACACAAGCAGTCTTAGACAGCCACGTGTCACCAGCAGCACACCCTGCATGCTGGGAGCTGTCTGCTCTGAGACCCAAAGCACCTGTGGTCAGGGCCCTTTCCACAGTGACAGATGGGGGACAGAGTGCTAAGTGATGTGTCGCAGCACAGCACAGGGCTTTTGGGTGGAATATTTCAAATCAATATTGTTAATCATTTCTCATCAGTTCAATTCACTCTGATTTCAGCTGCAAAATAAATCTTACTACAAAGGGGAAAAAAATCGATCACCTTTACACGTGAGCTTGTTAATTATTTTTTTTAAGTGTCCCCCTATCACCATCACTCTTGACCCTTTGTAGATGTGGCTGATGAGATTTACAAGGCAAATCAGAAAAATCACCTGCAACTTGAGATAGCTCTTCTATAATCTTTATATTTGCTTCTCAGCAAAAACAATAACAAAATGGAAATACTAGAAAAACAAACAAACAAACCTCCTATCAAAATTCTACCCCTAGACAGCACAGTGGATATGTTGGCTTATTTATTTGCACTGTTCCCCCCTCAACTACCCTCTAGTGTAAATGATTATGTATGATGCCAATTATGGGGAAACCTCAAGGAACCATCTACCCAGGGCGTTCTATGGTTGTCTGACACAGTGAAGTTAAGAATGTCCTTCTTCTGAAATGCTCTCCTGGGAATTGTGGACTCTCCAACAGGACCACACAACACCCAGTTCGCGCTCAGTGGCTTCCTCTGTGGGCCTCCCTCTACCTCAGGCCCGGCTGCCAGCCAACCCCGAGGCTTGGGAGCGAGCAGCGCCTTGGCACAGAGAGATGGCTGGGATGTCTCTAGGTTAATATCCAGTTGGCAGTTTCAATTACGACAAACAAATAAGGCAAATGAGTTCTCTGCTGCTTTCTTTGTGTGTCACTGCTGTAGGTGTCTACTTTTTCTCTGTACTACAGAATGCTAATAACTGACTTAATCTTCAAACATTGTCTTAAAGATTTCCACACTGCTGCTTTGGTTTAATCCATAATTCATGTGGCTAAAAGAGCAATTTACGCTCAGGAATGGAAATCAGAAAACTGGCTGGCAAGAGAAGGTGCTGCGGGACCTTGCTCTCTGCTGTTCTCACATAAGCAGTCTCCCACATCTCAGCGACTCCCTCTTAAAAGCAGGATGTACTACTCTACGGCTGGCAGGAAACCAAGACGGATATGTGTATTTCAATGATGGTTTCAGGCAAAACTGTTTTGGGTTGAATATATTCCAAATACTAGAAACAGTTGTGACCTCTGGGCTCCTGTCCTTATTCTTCAAATGATACACCAGGTATTTTCTGCATTTGAATTCATCATACAATCTCTGGATTTCTGTTCATTTTAGTAGTCAAAAAGCAGGTAAAAAATAAGAATAATAAAATACAGACAGTAGCGCACCATTGGTCTTAAAAGAGGGCTCTCTGACGTTCTGGTTGAATTCTAACCAACACATCAGAGACTTGGTAAGTAACAGTCCCGCTCTGTTCCAACAATGACATTCTCTACAGCTATGAGGCTGTTATCTTCCTGGGAGCTACAACACACGTGTGGTAGCAATGGACTTGTACTTGCTCTCCTTTAACTGAGAAATCTGTAAAATATTCCCAAAGTAGACTGTTTATTTTGTCAGGGTTGTAAAGCTATTCTTTCCACCTGCGGTCAGATGGCAACTCTACAAAGGTCTCAGATTACTCTCTATTCATCATGGTACATTGATTGGTTTTCACTGGGTGCCCCTTGGAAAAGTCAAATCCCTGTCAGTAAATTTGCCTAGTTCAATCAACTGCAAGTGTTCTTGGAAATAATTTGCCTTCTTGGAAAGCAAAAGGAGTCAGAGACAAGGGAACCTGTGTGCTTCGCTGCAGAAAAGCATTCACAAGAGCTGCGGCTTCTGTGCTCTAATCAGCAGGAAATGGGCTTGCTTCAAAATTTCATCAGACTTGGCAACAGCAAAGTCAACTGCCGGCCTTCCTGAGCTTGACAGCATGACACAGGGTCCATCTAACAAAACCCTGAGCTGCCGAAATGGTCGTGTGCTTGTCCTTTTTAAAACTTTTTGAGAGTACACACCTTTCTTTTAAGCATTCCTTTCCTTGCCTTTCACTACAGGAAATCTGAACCCATCCTGGAAGGCAGGATCCCACAGCCTTCCTAACATGCCTGCTGGCTCACCAGCAGTTCCTCCACTGCAGGCCGCATGTCCCCATGTAGCAGCAGGTTACAGACAGGGACTGTGTGTGTGTGTGTGTGTGTGTGGTTAGGAAAGGGAGAAAGAAGGTTTCTGCTGTAATGACAGGAGGGGGCTGTAAAAGAGAAAAGACCCCAGGAGATGGTGGGAATGGTGTCTTTTATGCACCATCTCAGGGAGGGGGACAAATGGCAGAGAAAAGGAAAAAAGGGGGAACTCATTCGCGTTGGACAACAGTGTCTGGCACTTTGCTTAGGACAGAATGGACACCATAGAGGTGTGTCCGGCAGCTTCCTCCTTGCATCCCGAGAAGCTGAAATCTCAGGCATCATCTCCTTGGCAGTAACCCAGAGAAGGGAGTTGCCATAGGCTATCTCCATGCTTTTGTCTTGGTAGCCACTCTAAGAGATAGAATTGATATGTTGTTCATTTTGCCAGCTCCTGGGTTAGCTGCATGTGCACATACAGAAATTGATGAATTGGCCTATATATTAGAAAAAACTGTCAATGCCAATGCCAGGGCCTTGTCTTATCTCAATGATAAGGTAAACCAAATTCGAATCAGAGTTCTGTCAAATCGTGCCACCACTGACTACTTACTACTGAAAAATCAAATTGGATGTGAGAAGCTTCAGGGTATATGCTTTTTCAATCTAACTGATAACCTCCAACTAAGTTCAAAGGGAGATTGATAAGTTACATGTGGAGGTAAACAAAATACATATGTTATCAGAAATCTTCCTTGGAAACTGGAAGCATTCTTCGCAAACTAGGAATAGTTATCTTGGTTGTTAGCTTTCTTGGGCCCAAAGGGCATAATTTTTTTGATACTCCTGTTTGGGCCATCTATACTAAACTGCTTCACCCACTTTGTGTTATCCTGAATCCAAAAAGGAGAAGCGCTCTGAGCCCAGACAGCACTTCAGACTCCTCTGATGACTTTTGTGTTCTAATGGGGACCTCTAGATTGACCCCAGGAAGGTTACTCTGCTGCGTTGCCTTTTAACACCTCTTTTCAGCCTGAAGCAGCTAGAGCAGTCATCACCCCCTGTCCCTAACAGCAGTTAGGGTCCATTCTTCTGGGGGAGGGAACGTGAGGAGTCAGAAGGGATAATAGGCAGTTAGGATCTCTGGTCTCTGATGAAATTACCTTTGTAAAACATAAAACCTTGCTTCTCCCCATTGCTTGCCCTTTCAGCAGCACATTCTCCCTAGCTTCACCTTTGTTCCCTTGAGGGAGAATAAGAGAGACAGGGGCTGTGTTTTGCTCAAAGCTGCGGGCTCAGCATCGCATGATGGGACTGCCCAAATTGGGATTTCTGCTCATCTCTTTGCCTGTCTCTCCTGGAGGCCCTGTTGTATCCTCCCCGCCCCCTCACTTTTTCCTGGATGATGCCAAAACATTCTGTCCTTTCCAGAACCACACATGAACTTCTTGTTCAGCTTTAACACAATTGTCTGCATCCTCCCTCAAGCTGAGCAGCCGGCTGACACCATTTCCCAGTTTGCTGCCTTTGTTGCACATTAATGACCTATCAGATCTTAACATGCACAGTGCTATTTCATTTTGCAGAAATAACACTGCCTTGCTCTAGTCCACATTTGATCACTGCTGATCCTGTCCATGCCCCCAACCAAACTGTGAATTTGCTAAGGCATTATGGAGTCTTCAATTTATACCCAACCCTTCAAAACAAAAAGGACTGAGGTAAAATCTTTGTTTTTGGCCAGAATATGCGGCAAAGTGTCTAGAATAAGTAAAATGAACATGAGGTACACTTTGGCATACAAAACAGAATACATTCTGGAGCACCTAGAGGATCTATAATAGGGTCCCCAAATTGATTTTTTATATGAAGCTATTAGAATAAAGCATCACTGTGCTGTTTCAAATAGCTTGCTGAGAGTCTCAAAGCAAACAGTACAGGAAGCAATATTTTATAAATACTGAGAGACAAGTAATTTTTTTTTTTTTTGCTATTTTGAAAAATTTACGTTGGAAAACTCTTTAGAAACTTGTCATATGGTTCCAGGTCCTCAAAGCAGAACTGAAACTGAGAAGGGAGACCCTGAGACCTGGGGCTCTGAATCAGCCAGCGACCACTTGTAGAAGAGCTGGGATAGCATCCACCCTGTGTTCACAAAGACTCTGGTCTGCAAGCAAATTTCCAGTAGGAGTTCTTTCCCAGGACAGGCATTCTAATGCAGTCATTTCAGGCTCAGTTTGTTCAGTTCTGAGATATTATAGCCAGCACCGTGTGTGTGTGTGTGTGTTGGGCATGCTGTTAGGGAGGACCCTCAGTTACCCCATCCATAAACAATGTGTAGGAATTTCCAGGCAAGATCAACTCACACATGGGAAGGGAATTTCAACAGAGACTTCTTAGTTCTTGTCACCTTAGCCCTGGAGAGATGTGGGGGATGTTTGTATACACACCATCAATACATACAGAAAAACACTTCTTAAAATAGAAACCTAGATATTTAAATTCCTAGGTTCAACGGGTTTATTTTCTAGAAGAAAACAAAAGAAACACTTAGTGTCAGCTATGTCTTGACTTTGCTCCTTCACATACATCTTCTCATTAGAACTGCCTAAAATTCACTAAGTCACTTTTGCCCCTAAAAATCATCCCGAGTGGACTGAAATTAGTTGTTATTTAAAGTCTGAGTTTTCTTCTCACAACAATCATGGATTTTAGGCAGAAACTTCCCCACATCTATGTGGATATGGATGAGAATATGTGATTAAAAGTCAACCCTAAACAGGGCAGGTGTTTTCTGCCAGCTGGATAAATCCTGGATTGTGTCAGACCAACAGCAATGAGCAAAAATGGTGCTATCTCTTCTGCTTTATAGGCCAAAGAAACAAACCAATCAACCAACAACCTGCTTGCAGTAGTTAAACCCTCTGAATGTGAAAAATTAGGAGTGGGCTCTGCCTGACTGTACTGCCAGTTAAATCACTGCAGAAGTCAATTGCTGTTGAACAGATCAAAGGCTTCAGTCAAACCCAGGACAATAACAGATACTCCAGTGGCCATGCAAAATGGTTAGGAGTGTGCCGAGCTGCTCTAGAGCAGAACAGTCCTATGGGCTGGGTATAGTTGGAGTGTGTCCCCCAAACACTCAAGTGTTGAGAGCTTGGTTCTCCCATGTGGTAATGTTAACAGGTGGTGGCACCTTTAGAAGGGGACGGTCTAGTGAGAGAACACTACCAGCTCCTTCCTCTCTCCAGCTTGCTGTCTTGCCAAGTGATCTTTTCCTCTTACATGTGCCTCCACCACTGGGATGCCACCTGCTATGATATTCTCATGGGAACTGAGCTGATGTTGGGGCCATGCCCTTGAACCTCCAAGGTTAAATAAACTTCTTTCCTATCTAGATGAACCCAGCCTCACTTATGTACTTTTTTCAGGTAGCAGAATATGAACACAGACAGGTTAGGAAGGTTACTGTTGTTGGCGTCTTCATTGTTTTAAACTGATCTATAAATGTGTGCTTCTTGAAAGCCAGGCACCACAAGCAAAAGATTTATTGAGCGATAACATTATCTGGCATCCGCTGTGGTTGTTTGTAAATACTATGAGAACTGAACTTGATTCTAAGTGACAGGAAAAGCCACACTTGGCTATGCTGCAGGGACCACTCAGCAACCCTGAACCCATCGGCTGGAAAATTGCTTCTATCATCCCGGGGGCATCAAAGCCATCTCTGACACCTTATTAGGCCAAAGAGAGACAGTAGGCCTCTTAATTTTGATGGTGACACAACTGAAGTGGATTAAAACTGATATGTAATAATTCTAGATGGTTCTCTTTTGAAAATTAATTAGAAGCAGAGCCCTTGTTCTAACACCTGGTGATCGCACTTTCCCCTGATGGAAACACTGCGTGGAGGAGAGTAAAGAACGGTCTTCTGCCTTCATTAGTATCACTCTCCTTCATATGACTAACCCAATTTCTGCCAAGATTAGTAATGTTAAAAACCTATTGTACTTGGTAAGCAATACAGTTGGTTGAAGTGAGCGCCCAGAACTTGTCCAAAACCTAGGTATGATTCTGTTTCGTTGCTTTGAAAACTCTGAGTATTTATCTCCAGTCTAGGAAGTTAGTATGGTTATCACTTCAGTTACAAGCCTACCAGAAAATTTCCTAGACACAACTTGGCCCCTGAAAGTATCAGTTTACAGAACATTTCATAGGTTGGGTGACCTTTTCTTCTCATTTATCCCTAAGGCTTTTATTTTTTATTTTTAGCCCAGATCAGCTCAAGATCTACCCAGTATTTGGCAGTGGTGGATGGGCCCATAATCCCAAGCTTGAGTCCACCTGGTCACAGCCAAGCAGCCTGGGGAGCAAAAACCCTGAGCCTCCAGCCCAGACCAGTTCGAGATCCACTCACAGCATGGCCGCAGTAGATGGAGCTAAAATCTCAAAGCCTCAGGGCTGGTCCAACCTGAGTTTCCCGGCCACACCCATGCAGCTGGGGGAGCAAAAATTCTGAGCCTCCCTATCCCTAACGCTTTAAATGAACTACAGACATGTCCCTGACATTAACTTGTACCCTGGGTCGGGGAACCTCCAGCCTGTGGCGGTGTGCCTAGAGAATGGAGGGCATGGAGCATGCCATGCCACATACCTGGTCCTGTGCATTCCTTCTGTCTGTACCCTTCTAATTCCCATTGCCAATAAGCCAGCACACTGGAACAGGAAAGTAACAGACCGTAGCTTCTCCATGCAAACCTGCACATTGGAGCAGCCGCTGTTCTGTAGTGGACAGAGCTGCATTCACACAACCACTGGGTGCCCACTCAGAGTAACTCATTCAGACATATTGGGTGTGAAGGTGCACTGGCCTCCCAGAAACACTGCTGAAGTTGCTTTCTTTCACTGGCATGTGGCAATTCACATGGTCTGTCCCAGAGAACATGCTCCACAAACATTCCCTACACACCAGTGCTATAGACCCTCCTCATCATTCATGTCAGTGGAGGGCAAAAAGAAAAAACAAACCAAACCAAATTTCTTACCTGTGTGATAAAATGTGAGAAAAAATAAAAGAACTCCCATGAACATATTACTTAAAAAAGTGACAACTCCACAAGTAATTCCTTCTGGAACTGGGTAGACAGTTTCCACAAAAAGCTCAAAAAATATAGGTGTACTGCTATTCAGGAACACTCCCAAGAGAATACAGGAGGCGTACAGTGTCACTAGAATAAAAACACAAACATGTCAGTTACACGGTGGCAGCAGTGGGTCATGGCAGACAGGGCTCCTGGGCATTCTCCTTCCTCAGTACCAACCCTAGACTGGCATCTCTCGTTAAAGGAGGTTGGCAAGGTTGGACAAAGCATTCTCTTTGTAGATATGAAAAGCTTTTATTGCTGAATGACTGTTTATCTGCTTTAGCTTCCTAGTGGATGATTCCCAAACACAGCAATGAATATATCACTAAAATGTAACTACAAGGATTCTTTCCCTCTCTGGTCACTCTCCAGGCAGAGAGATTAAGATAAAATATAGTAACTTGATTCAACATCGTCTCATTATGTAACTGTAAGAAGAACTTACAATCTGAGGATAAATTTAAGAAACATTATATGTTACTGGCAAGTCCATATTTCAACAGACCGATCAATCACAGCTCTCAAGTACAAAACATACAGAACAAACATTTATTCAGTATTTATCTTGCAGAGAAACACTTTACGACAGAATAACTTCTCAATTTCAGAATAAACTTGTCTCAATAGTTATTCTTAAACTAAGCTAAGAAAAAATTTTAAGCTTTATTTATTTTTATTGGAAAGTCAGATATGCAGAGAGGAAGATCTTCTGTCCCCTGGTTCATTCTCCAATTGGCCATAATGGCCAGAGCTAAGCCAATCCAAAGTCAGGAGCCAGGAGCTTCTTCTGGTTTTCCCACACTTGTGCAGGGTCCCAAGGCTTTGGGCTGCACCCCACTGCGTTCCTAGGCCACAAGCAAAGAGAGCTGGATGGGGCGTGGGGTAGCTAGGACATGAACCAGTGCCAAAATGGAATCCTGGTGCGTGCAAGGCAAGGACTTCAGCCACTAGGCTATCGCGCTGGGTCCAGTGAAATTTTTTAAGACAAAAAAAGTTCACCTAGAAAAATCTAGAATCTAATAGTGTTTGGGTTACCAAATTATCTCATAAAAAGCCTATTCAGGCTACTCTGAAGTGACATCTGTAGAGTAAGGATGTTATTCTAACAATAATATTTAGGGAAATGCCTTCTACTCTAATAATTTTTTCTCTGCTACATTACGCCAATGAACCTTTGTCAATTTTAATTTGAAGGAAAACCAGAACTAATAGAGGGAAAATATGACACTACATGCATAAATTTAAAACATATCTTAAAAAATAGGAAAGGTCTTTCAAAAAGCTGATGGAAAATGCATATTATGAAAAACCATGCGTAGAATCAAAGCTTCTTTTGTTCCAAAATAAACTTATTTTTAATTCTATTTCCATACATATATCAACCCACTTAATAATGAACAGAATTTCTTCTAAGTTTAAAGTTACAAAGAAAGTGACATGTTCAATAAAATTATTTGTGAAGTAAAACAGGTTTCTGTACATGAGCTGTAGGAAGTAAAGAAGTCACACTCAATCTGGGATCTGTTAGTTAAAGAGTCACGGAACTTATCAAATCACCAGATGCTACCACACCTGGGAATGGTTGTGAACAGTCAATGCCATTGTCAAGGGGTTAAAAAGCAACAGTATTCAATAGTATTCACCGGTTTCTAAATTCTCTAATTAATTGCCATTTCTTCCCCATCCTCCAATTCTATTAGGCCTTTCAGGATTGTAAAATATTTCATATATTCTAATAATGCAAACAGTTGGTTAAGTAGTCTGTTTTTCTCCCTTTAGATAGCAGACAGGCATGAAAACAGAGAACATGAGAACAAATTAGTGAGTAAAGAGCATCATTCTGGCTAATGAATGCAGGGACCAAATTATTCCCAGAATTACATGGGAAGCCTCTGATGGTTACAACAAATAGTACTCAAGTATGACATTATTTTCAAGAGGTTCTTAAAAATAAAACGTGTCCTAAGCTTCAGCTCACTGGATATTCACTAGAAAGGAATCACATAAATCAAAAAATTCTACTTAGACATGACTCATGAGTGATACCGTGGGAAATCCACAGATGGACTATCACTGGTAGCTTTCATGGAGTAATCCATTTAGTCACAGCAGAGAAAGTGACTGACCCACTTAGGGAAATTAAAACAAGACAGTGCTAAAATAAACAATAGGAAGAGTCAGCCTCTCAAGGAGCAGCAGGTGCTACTCCTAAGACTCACAGACGGCTGATGCACACGTGTTTTTAGGGAATATGGTCAGAAATAAACTTTTCAACACTTTCATTTCTGAAGATACTTCTATGTAAAATTGGCAACTCAGGCCAACAAAACAATAATCAACTAAAAAGAATCACAATCCATATGTAACAGAATATTTGTGTATGTAGCCAAAGAAAAGTGAAAATGACAATGATTAACTGAATTGGAACCACTGATACAGGGACTTGAAAAGAGAGGTCCAGCTTGACTGATTTTTCCCAGGCGCAGCAGAGACGAGGGTTGTGCTGAAGAGCAGTGCCTGGTGGAGCGGGGCCTTGAACACCCTGAGGAGCAGGCAATGCCCCCGGTTTACTTCACACCAGGAGAGCTGCAGATTGTGGTTTCCAGTATATCAATTCTGGGAAGGACTTGCAAGAAGGGACCGAAACAACTCAAGTGGGGCAGAGAAGACTTCTATTGTGGCGAAACACTGTTGGGAAACAGTTCATCTCCTACAGGCTAAAATAAATTACATACATGCTCTTTGACCCAGCAATTCTGATATATGGAGGACACTCATTGAAGTTCAAGATGTTCACTAATTGGGAGTTGACAGATTAAAAAAAAATACATAAACCATTCTTCAAAAGTGGTGTATTATGCAGCGATAAAATGAAGCATAGGTGGGTATTTGACCTAGTGGTTAACTGTTGATGAAAACACCCATGCCTGCGCTGGAGTATCCAGTTGAATATATTGTTTCTGGCTCCTAAATCCAGCCCCCTGCCTGTGCACAACCAGGGAAGCAGCAGGTGATGGCTTAATTAACTGGGTTCCTACCTCCCACGTGGGAGAGCTGAACTAAGTTCTCAGCCCTCAGCTCTGGCCCTTGCCCCTTGCATCTGGAGAGTGAACCAGTGCATGGGTATGCTCTGTCTCTGCCCAGTGAATAAATTTTAAAATAATTAAATAATGTGTAGCTCTGTGCTACTATTAGTGACATTAAGACATGTTTTAAAAAGTTAGTTGCTATAAAATGTGACACACTAAAAATAAAGGACACAAACACCTGTTTGTAAATGTTCTCAATTGTCTGAGAAAATTCAGAAAAATTGAGGAAAATTCAGATAACAAAGGATTAGAAGCTTTTCTCTATACCCATTGCCACTTTTTTGGATTTGCTTTTTTTTTTTTTTTTTTACTATGTTGTAGCTTTCATAATTATCAAAATAAAAAGGAAAATTTCAATGGAAATGAATGAATTGAATTCTACTTCACTTGAGTTTGTCAGCTCACAAAGGCAAAGTGGTTATCATTGGGTGAGCTAACATCTGTGCCAGGCAGCCATATAATCCTGCCTCATGCAGGATCTTTTTATCTTCATCTTCTTGCTTTAAAGATTTATTTATTTTTATTGTAAAAGCAGATTTATAGAGAGAAGAACAGAAAGATCTTCTTTCTACTGGTTGACTCCCCAAGTGGTTATGGAGGGTGCAGCTGAGCCAATCTGAAGCCAGGAGGCAGGAGCTTCCTCCGGTTCTCCCATGTGGGTGCAGGGTCCCAAGTGTTTGCTTCTTGTACTACTATATAAGTGATGACCAAGAGGCTATTCTATTTTTACTAGATAGATTGCTGAAATCACTCAGTACAAAAGAAGCCAAGGAATGGTTAAATGAAGTCAGCATGGAGCAAAGGTAGCTGCAGCGGGATGGCTGTAATATATGCTGGGATAGGCAGAAAGTAGAAGCTGATTATCACAAGTCTGAATTTGAATTCTACTTGAATTTTCAGTTTAGAGTCTGATACATCCAGTGGATGAATGTCATCTATTCAAAGGCGGGCAGACAAGATAATTTCCTGTTTGTCAAAGAGGGTTCAAATTACACGATCATGAAATATTTCCATGACTTCCTATAATACTGATACTAAAATTATAATAAACTGCCTTTCAATTAAAAAGTCAAATAGAACAAGAACAATTGAAGTGCTGATGCAGATTTTTTTTTTGAAAAAGCTAATACAAGGCCCCTAACCATAGCCTTGTAGCAAAAGTCCTGGCCTTATATGCCTTGGATCCCATACTGGTGCTGGTTAGCATCCCAGCCGCATCCCTTCCCTTTCAGCTCCTTGTTTGTGGCCTGGGAAAGCAGTTGAGGATGGCCCAATGCCTTGGGACCCTGCACCGGAACAAACTCCTGGCTCCTAGCTTTGGATCAGATCAGCTCTGGCTCTTGGGGCCACTTGGGAAGTAAAACAGCAGATGGACCATCTTTCTCTGTCTCTCCTTCTCTCTGCAAATCTGACTTTCCAATAAAAATAAACAATTTGTTTTTTAAAAAAAAACATACAATTTCATAGACCCACAATTTAAATTGCATAAATAAGTAAATGTGCTGTATAGGACGAAATACAATTGCAACGGATGAATTTGAAGCACACAAATTGGATCATAACCCTGACAATATTCCTCCTCATTTCAGTTCCCATGATGAACCAAATCACTGATTATAGAAAAAAAAACTACTTAGGAATACATTTTTGTTAACTAAAATACTCAAGTCTTATGTGACCAGTAATTTTAAAACAAATGCTGAACCTCACATCAGAACTACTCAACAGATAATGAAATTCTTCAAGACATCATCAGATAAGAACTTCATAATCTTAGAGTTTCATAATGTTTTAATATTTTCAAAACAGCATTCACATACATTTCAGTACCTGATCATCTAACCAACTGTTTCAGGCAGCTTACATACTCTTCAGCAAAAGTGAGCGAAGTTCTCAGAGCAAAACAACTTATTTAGAAACAGTGTAAATCAGCAGTGTTAAAAAATACATATAATTAATGCCTATAGACCCCAGATGCTTTTCTATCAAGCCATT